CTCATATTTGGGAAGTTTTCTGCTATTACTTCTGCCCATATTTTTTAATGTCAGTTGTGTTGACTCATTCTTTCTCATTGATGCCTATTAGTCTCACATTGTTCATCTTTGCATCATCTTCCAGATGATGGATTATTCTTTCCTGCATTCTCGTTGTTCTTAAGAGATCCTTTCTTACCTTTTCACTAGCTACACCAGCATGTTCAAGATCTGAAACTCTGTCTTCACAGTCACTTAAACGGTTTTGCATTTCACAACTCTCTTATGATTGAGAGTTTAATTTCCTCTGTATCTCTTTGACTTTGCTTCATGCGATCTAGTTCTTTCCTGTATTGCTCATTCAGGGAATCCGTCATTTTTCTAATCTCCTCTATTTTTTTATCAATATCTTCTTTAGATGCAGTTAGAAATTCTTTTACTGCAGTATTTTATTCAGATTGGGTTTCCTGCCTATGTTTCTGTAGTTGCTTCTTTACTTCAGTTGCTATGAGTTCTGAGAGTTCTTTTTTTATTTCAGAAAAGAATTGTACTCTGAGTTCCTCTATATCTTTCTACTGTTGCTCATTTACTATCGAAGCTATTAATTCATGCATTTGAGCCAAGCTAGTGTCCTCCGCACTTGTTCTGGGTGGGCACTGGGTTTCTTCCATATGTTTCTGCATTTTGTTTTTTAGTGCAGATATTATTAATTCAGGGATTTCTTTTTTTATTTCCAATCTGAGGTCCTCCATATCTTTCTGCAGCTGTTTCTTTATTTCAGAAACCATTGATTCATTGCTTTCAGCTGTGTGATTTCCAATTTTTTCTGTGTTAATGACCTCTGCACTTGTTACAGGTAGGCTTGGGTTCTGAGGTTGCATTTTGTTCCTTTTTGTCATTTTGTGTAGCACTGTCTTCTGATCTTTGTTGTAGATCTTTGCTGTAGTTATAACCTTCTCACGTACTGAAGTTCAGATGTAGCTCCTCAAAGTTTGGACTTATCCAGCTGCGTCTGGCTTGGGTCTGGCTGCTGTGCTCAGCTCCTTCCCACTGTTGCCCTTGAGGGTGAACCTTTTGTACCCCTGTGGCAAGATGTTCTGCTCCTGGACTAGCTGAGCGGATCTATCCTCTACACTCTCTGCAGGGATTGTCGCTGCAGGGTTACACCCCAGGCGTGTATACCAGATTGAGCTGTGCCTGGAGGTGGCAAGGTGAAGTAGGGGGAAGAGGAAGCTCTCCCACACACTCACTGGACCTGGGCTAGGACTGGGTCTGGGGTTCCCGGAATGTGGCAGAAAGTCCTACTTGGCGGGTGTGGTGGGGGATGTGTTGCGGAGACCCCTCAATCTTCTTTCATAAAAATAAATTTCCAGTATGACAAGCAGTTTCAGTCAAATTTATATCAAATACTTTTGTGAAAACATAATAAGTGCTGTGAATTAACTCTTTAGAGAAATAATTGATATCCAGACCTGGACTAAAAACTTCCATGGTGAGACTTGAATACCTTGATTTGCCAGAGACCAACGAAATATTCAAAACAGTGATGATACATGGAGGGGAAACAGAAGCCAGGTAGAGGCCTCTGAATGGACCTCATAAGTTACTCTATGGTTGATATTAAATGATGATATTAAAAGATTATCATGCATTGAATTAAATAATGAATGATCCTAAGTATGTAGTATATAAAAATGAATTGAAAGCTCAATAAATGTTTCCATATGTATAATTTACAATGGCCTCTTAGTTGACAATGGGTTTATTTTAAGATTTTGAAGAATACGGTTATGTTTCTTTTGGGAAAAACTATAGTGAAATTTATCACCTGAGGCAAAGCTTAAAAACAAAAGCAAAATTTTACAAACATTTGTGTTTATGAACCAAAATGTTGCAAAACATCTATTCATGATTCAAGGTAACACTGTAACAACATGATATAGTTACATTATAAAATAATAGGATGCATATTTTTTAATTAGAACAAATAAAAATTAAAATAAAGCAGAATTTCAGAACCGAGTAATAGGAGACTAACAACAGTTAATGTGTTATGCATTATTATCTCCATAATAAGTACTTAGAGTAAAAGAATAAACATTAAATATTGTCCAAGCAATGTTAGCATTAACCTTTCTTTGCAAGAAACTAAGATAAACTGGTGACTATCATAAAATACTTCTATAAACTATGTGTCTTTTATTAAATTGTTTCTCGTTGCAAAACCCCAGACTACAATAAAGTTGGTACAGGAAGAGTAGAGTCATCAGTGTCATGTTGCTTGGCCATATGACTTAAGAGCTTTGGGAATCAATTGGACTAGTTTTGAGAGATGCTCAAGGAGGCAGCCTTGTATGTTATAAACTATATTGGAAACTCGGGCGAGAGACTGGAAAATCCGAAGCAGCAATATTACAATATTGATGGGCAGAATATCTCACTTTCCAACATATGCAGGTGTCTTATATTCCAGCATAACCTGTCAGAAAGTAGGAATACTTATACTAAGTCACTCATCTTGAAGACACCCCTTGAAGTTACTCAGATTTGGTTCATAATGCATATCATTATTTCTCTGAGTGCCTAAAACTGTCTTGAGTGCTTCCTATGTCTCTAATAAAACCTGTTCATGACTCCTAATTACCTGTCATGAAAATTATTTTTTCTTCAATGACAGCTAATGACTTTCTAATTTATTCTACAAAAGAATGGGATAGGTTTCTTCTTCCAGCCTTAAGCAATCCAGTCTAGAGACAAACTGATACAAAATGCCTGACAACATTTTATGAATGTCACTTTCTCATGAACACACTAAACCCCAGAAAGGTTTACTTGCACAATGAAATGAGCAAAATCATGATTCAAATTTAGATGGTTTAGGATTAGAGAACTAAGCATTAATATTTTAACAAAGATCAATCTTGGCCAACTTGACATCAGATTCCTGAGGTAGAGCAGTGGTTCAACTCAGTCAAACTGAATGAGGACCAGATCTCTGCTCTTACTAGAGACAGAATGAGAACAGCCAGAAGCACATCGATGGGGACTCAAATGGGGTAGAAGGGTCTCTGTGTCCTCCTGCCTTACAGAGTAAGAAATTGTGCAAGTTTCACA